CTGGATGCTATCACTCACAAACACCGTGTTTCCTGTCTGGATGCTATCACTCACAAACACCGTGTTTCCTGTCTGGATGCTATCACATGATCAGTGTTACTCAGCGTGTGTCACACACTATGTAAAACCCCGACTGTGTCACGGCGTCAGCTGTGCACTGCAGGATTGTTCGTCTCATTGATTTCTTATCGCTGGACTCAAAAGGGACCCACAAATTTGCTATAATCTGACGCAATCAATTCTGTCTACATTCTTTGTCTAAATCCCTGTTTCCCCACGTGGGACCCACTCCCCACTAATGGGCAATTTGAGTGTTTGGGTTGGGGGGGGGGGGCAATTCGAAAAATGATCTGTCTAGATTTTAAAAATCAACCGTTTACTATGACTTACTATGATTGAACTTGTGTTTTAAAAGGAGGATGTTAAAGTCTCAATTTAAAATAAGCGTTCGTTAAAAGGGTTGTAAAAATCATTCAAGTTTCTTCAGTGGACAAACCTATTTTTGAATATTAAAATATGATGTATATGAGGGGCATAAGAATTTTAGAAAGGCTTAGGTGGGGCTGGCACAAAAAAGGTTGGGAAACACTGGCCTTAATGGTCTCAATTAGGTTGATAGATTTCGGAAAACCGAGAGTTGTCTTTCTTGCTGCACTTTTTTTTGTTCCTTCTGTCTTTTGAAGGGTGGTATTTCCGGTTACGCCCCGTGAGCCACTTTCCGTCGGCACCGCCGTGTTCCCATTTGGCAATTCAATCATTTTAATTGGGCCCCAAAAAGGTAATTCAGTTCATTGGCCTACTTTTGATCCCAGTAGGAAATTGCAATCCGTTCACTTGTCCGTCTAACAATTGAAATCTATATAATCTTCCCCCCTCTGGTCATTTCAAATCATGATAAGTCATCCATATGGTAGTTTAAATCATGATACTTATCTTATGGTAGATCAAATCATGATACTTTTCATCTACCTGGTAATTAAATCAAATCATGTTCTTGTCCATCAGATCCAGGCGTTTCAATTAATTATATTTTTTTCTTATCAGAATAAAACAATGTACAGTGAACCCTGGGTATAATGACTGTTGAACTAGCACTTTCCCTGGCATATGCGCTAACTCACCGGCACGGGACGATTTTTTACCATTCCTTAAACCCACAAATAGCACCACCTTTGCATCGGCACCTTGCTGCACACCATTAGACGTGGTGGTAAGCTTAGCACCACCTTTGCATCGGCACCTTGCTGCACACCATTAGACGTGGTAGTAAGCTTAGCACCACCTTTGCATCGGCACCTTGCTGCACACCATTAGACGTGGTAGTAAGCTTAGCACCACCTTTGCATCGGCACCTTGCTGCACACCATTAGACGTGGTAGTAAGCTTAGCACCACCTTTGCATCGGCACCTTGCTGCACACCATTAGACGTGGTAGTAAGCTTAGCACCACCTTTGCATCGGCACCTTGCTGCACACCATTAGACGTGGTAGTAAGCTTAGCACCACCTTTGCATCGGCACCTTGCTGCACACCACTAGACGTGGTAGTAAGCTTAGCACCACCTTTGCATCGGCACCTTGCTGCACACCATTAGACGTGGTAGTAAGCTTAGCACCACCTTTGCATCGGCACCTTGCTGCACACCACTAGACGTGGTAGTAAGCTTAGCACCACCTTTGCATCGGCACCTTGCTGCACACCATTAGACGTGGTAGTAAGCTTAGCACCACCTTTGCATCGGCACCTTGCTGCACACCACTAGACGTGGTAGTAAGCTTAGCACCACCTTTGCATCGGCACCTTGCTGCACACCATTAGACGTGGTAGTAAGCTTAGCACCACCTTTGCATCGGCACCTTGCTGCACACCACTAGACGTGGTAGTAAGCTTAGCACCACCTTTGCATCGGCACCTTGCTGCACACCATTAGACGTGGTAGTAAGCTTAGCACCACCTTTGCATCGGCACCTTGCTGCACACCACTAGACGTGGTGGTAAGCTTAGCACCACCTTTGCATCGGCACCTTGCTGCACACCATTAGACGTGGTAGTAAGCTTAGCACCACCTTTGCATCAGCACCTTGCTACACACCATTAGACGTGGTGGTAAGCTTAGCACCACCTTTGCATCGGCACCTTGCTGCACACCACTAGACGTGGTGGTAAGCTTAGCACCACCTTTGCATCGGCACCTTGCTGCACACCACTAGACGTGGTGGTAAGCTTAGCACCACCTTTGCATCGGCACCTTGCTGCACACCATTAGACGTGGTGGTAAGCTTTTATCATATAGGAAGCTGGAAGTTTGAAAGTCCGGATGCCTAAAACGGATCCATACATGATCCTACATCTTCTGCCCAACAGAAAACTGAGGCAGCAAGCAGGCTTTTCAGCCATTGCAGAAACTATGCAGACGGGTCGATGGAGCTGGCCTGATCATGTCTGTAGATTGCCGAGATGCTAACGTCACATAACAGAACTGAGCCGGAAAGGGAATTTAAAGGGGAAGGGGGATGACTAAATGGCACTTAGCACAGACCAACATAGAAGACGGCTCTGATCCAGCAGACGGCTCTGATCCAGCAGACAGCTCTAAAAAAAGTGGCATTGCTTGGCCCAATTCCTCAGTCACCGGTTGGAGTGAATAAAAGGTATGTTAATTGTTATGGATTCTTTTGAAGGCAGAACCACAACGTTTGTAAAGAAGATGTATATAAATAATGTATAATCTGATTAGGGATATCTGCTTTACTTCAGCCCCCACAATGTAAATGGCCAGCAAATGTCTATTACAGGAATACAATGCCAGCAAATGTCTATGACAAGAATACACTGCCAGCAAATGTCTATGACAAGAATACACTGCCAGCAAATGTCTATTACAGAAATACACTGCCAGAAAATGTCTATTACAGAAATACACTGCCAGCAAATGTCTATTACAGAAATACACTGCCAGCAAATGTCTATTACAGAAATACACTGCCAGAAAATGTCTATTACAGGTATAACTAACCTGCCACCAAATATCTATGACAAGAATACATTGCCAGCAAATGTCTGTTACAGGAATATAGTGCCAGCAATTTTCTATTACAGGAATACACTGCCAGCAAATGTCTATAACAGTGACAGGAATACACTGTCACCAAAAATGGTATATTACAGGAATACACTGCCACCAAATGTCTAATACATAAATACTCTGTCACCATGAGAGCACCAATCACTCATATCATATTTACCACACAACACCATTTCATTTTAATGACATTATCTTTTATTTGGACAAATCACTACATGACAAACACAATGATTGAGGGGCATTTAGCATGCCACATGCTCAGATGTTCAACAGAAATGTATTATGGTCAATTTTTTTTTACAAGTCAACTAGAAACATTTATCCTATAAAATTTCATTCAGGGCAAACCCATAAATTGAAGCAAACATTAAAGCAATGTGAAGCATGCTTATAGTTAAGACTGAGACATCTTGATAAACAGATGAACTCAGTTCACAAAACTATCTCTTCAAATTAAAACATTAAAATAAAAACTAATCAAGGAAAAATTCACTGTGAAATATTTGTACACTGCAAATGGGTAATTTGCATATTGGAAGGTACCTATTTGGTGTTTGATGAATGAATAATAAATCAGTTTTCATAGACTATACAAGCACTGACTTCCAAGTTAAAGAAGTTCCTTTCACACCTGTTGATATGAGCAGTCAGACCAAACTACACTCTATAAAGTTACAAATGGGGATCAGTATCAGTTGCTGGGGTACAGCAACAAGGTTACACCATGGCAGATGATTGCTGGAAAAATGACAGAAATACGTAAGCTATTTGTACACATTGAAATAATCACACGTTCCCATTGCTCACAAGAGCAGCTAACTCGTGGTAATCAAGAGCAGCTAACTCATGGTAACAAGAGTAATCAAGAGCAGCTAACTCATGGTAATATTAAGAGTAATGTTGATCAAAAGCAATGGATTATTTTTTAGGAATGTTAAAATCCAATAAACAAAAACTTAAAAGTTAATTTAAAGCTAACACCTAGAAGCTAAATTTTAACAATAAAGTACCTATCAAAGTGTAGCCACAAGCAAGATGAAAGCCAAAACAACTCATTGAAGTCTGCATTCTGACCTAGGATTTGTTTGGAACAAACTTAGTTTGATATAAAATGATCACTCCCTGTAACCCAACAGGACAAAGCAGTTTTAAATTGCCTGTGTGTTTGGGAACAAATGTTAAATTTTGAAATACAGACCAAAAAAATATGTGACTATTTTGAAATGCCACAAGGATGGATATTTAAACATTTTGTCATTTCCTTATTTGCTTCCTCTTTGAACTGTTGTTTTTTTGGTACCAAATCTAAGTATTAAACCATAAAAAATGAACATACTTACATTTGTACCAATATCTGCACACGTATTGTATTATGGAACAGTGGTTTTTAAAAAATGAGCATCAATTGGGAGGGATGGAGAATTCATTTAGAAAATCAACATCATCATTGGCATCCAGTGACATCCAAATTTCCAGTTAGCATTAAAATACAAAAAAATTTGACAAATAACATTGTAAAGATGATTTTAATTCAATCTTGCAGGTTGTTTTTTTAGTTCTTAGTACAAGTTTACTCAAATTGATTGGATATTTTAGTTCAGGTTTTTTAAATTCATTTGTATAACCAAGATCAATCAAGGCCATAGAATAAAGGAAAAGTTCCAACACTGCATTGAAAAACTGGAGTCTCTGCTGGAAAAATGTATCATGGCTGGCAAACTTCCTCTGATATTGCACTCATTTGTCTTCACACTGACAGTAATTTTAGTGCTGTACCTTGCATTCTATTGGTATGTTACAAACTATCCTCCCAATACATAAAGAAATGACTTGATATTTTCACAGAGGACTCAATGACTTAGTTTTACTGACACAATCTCAAACATTGTAACAGGTCATTTTAATTACAATTACAATTCTAAAATGAGGGGAGATTTATCAAAACTTGTTTACATCTGTAAGGTTCAATTCAACTGTAGCCAATACTATATTTGCTTCAATTAAACTTGTCAAAGTATCTGTTCAATAAAACAATTTAATTGTAAAGGAAATAATTTGACATCAATAAAAACCAGTTTGTAAACTAGACCAGTGGTTATCAACTATTTTACAACAACAAACTTGTTGAAATAGGGCAAATATTTCGGTGGCTGTCTCCCTCTCTCACAATAATTACTTCCTGTAAAATTATTTCTTGCGACATACAACTCATAGCAGTAACACCTTGATAATGTATTTTGTCAATTCCCATATATATGCAAATTTAAAATTGTAGTACTCTTCGATACCAGAAACTCAGCTGTAAATAAAATGTTGAAAAAAAATGTGTGTAACTTTAGAGGTCAAAAATTAAATTTAATGGAAATAATGATGGTGCAAAATCTGCTTCATAATCCAGTAATCCAGGCAAATTATGTGTTATCAGCCACATATTTTTTTAACTGACCAGCAGGAAATGTCCACAGACTGATCAAATACATGGATCAATGTTGAAAACCACTGTAAAAAACTTGGTTCAATTATGTTTAAAAAAATTAAAAAATTTTGACAGGAAGTTTTAGTTCACAAGAAGAACTTATTTAACACCATAGCACTCTCATTTTCAAAACAAGTTGCTTCAATTCTCAGTTCACTTGGTTTTTCTGAAAGAGGAAATTCCAGCAATCAGTCAGTACTTTAATATTACTATGAAATATCCAAGATATGAAAAAACTCAAGGTGGCCCAAAAAACATCTTATCATTTGGCTAACATGAGTAATGAGTCAAACTTTGCCAGTAGAAATAATTCAGAATTTCTTAATTGCAGTTTTAATATGTTCAAATGTAAGCTATAAGAAGTGTTTAAATTTAGCTTATAAAAATGTTTGAATGTAGCTTACAATAATAAGTTTTCAACTGTAGCTTACAAAAGTGTTCAAATTTAAATTCTTGGCAAAGAAATAAACAAAGTTGAAACAAATCTTAGCTAAATCCCACATTAGCTACATCCCATGTAAAACTAAAAAAGTTGAGACTTACCTCTACATTGTAATAAAACTGGTATTACCATCCGAGTTAGGAGCATCATCGCCATGCTGCATAGCAAACTGGACAGGTCCATCCTGTTCAACGATGGCGTGGGTCACTTCATTGGGGTCAGCTGCTTGTACAATGATGATAGTTTCTTCCCCACCATCAGTCTGTAGGGTAGTGAAGGTCTGACCCTGCAGGACTTGTGAAGCATCTCCTACCATTGCTTGGTATGTGCCATCAGATACCTAGAATAATAATAATAGATTATGTAAAAGAGGGTTTTTCTATGACAGAACAAAGTTTGGTTTAAAAAAATGCTGATTAAGATAAATAAAATGTTTATCTTAAAACTATTTTAATATTTATTTTTGAAAAACTTTATTGTCATACATTGTATATTACCGCTTATAAAGCAAAAAATCTATATTAACAAATTTCACTTGACATTAGGGATTCTGAATGTAAGAATTATTTTGTACCACTATACATTCCCACATAGGTACAGAAAATATTTATGAATGATCTCCCCTTCACTAAACAAAGGTTCTAACATGTGGACCTTTCTCCAAAAAGGATAAATAAAAAATTTAAATGAAAAATGCTTCTTTTAAATTCATATCTACATTAACTTGAGTTTTTACATCAAAGACTGACAAATTTATTTCAAAAACTGACTAAAAAATTTAAAATTCAATGCCAATTAAGTTATAATTAATGAAAATTCCTCAGTTATTTATGCTATCTCTACCAAGACAGATTCTTGTATTTAACTGAAATCCATCAGACCACATGTGACCATATATCTTCTTGGAGGTAATAAGTTTATCTGTTTGATATTAATTGATGTCCTGATGTGTCCACCATTCTGGAGGAAAAACATATCTTATGGAACAAGATTAACAGATCCTGTTACACAGGGACATGGTACTTTAGGCATTTTTTCAAACAAAATGTTAGGGCTTCACATTATATGTGGATCAGGTTGTACACTGCTATACACTGTGATTAAGAAACTAGACAAGTTAGCTTTCATGACTTGTTATCAGATATGCGGTGGTAAGGTTATAAAGGTACACATTTTTTTTTAAAAGATTAAAAAAGAATGCTTACATTTAGTTACTAGTGTAAGCAGAGTAAAATATTTTATAAATGATCCCAATTTTCTTTCCATTAAATTGTATGTTTCATCCAAGCCAAGATGTGCGTCATTGGAAATCAAGCACCCTTTATATAAGACTTTGCAAAGCAGCTAAACCCATGTATTATGTTAAAGCATAAAAAAAAAACAGAACAAAACAGAAGTTTCCTTTCTTTCAGTTTGAAAATACCTGAGCATAAACTGTTGTAGTGCCATCATCAGCATCATGATGAGAAGAACCAGTTGGTGCAATGGTGATTGTGTGTTGTCCCATATCATCATCATCATCTCCTGCCTCTTCAATCTTGCGGATGTAGGCCTGCATTGCCTTGGCAGCCTCTCCGTGAGAGACATGAATCTTGCCAATATGCTCAAGGAGTAGTTTTTTGCGCTTAAAGGTTTCATGACACATGTCACACATGTAGGGAGACAGTTTCTTGTGGACCTGAATGGTAGAGAAATTATAGATACTTTGATATCATACTATAACAAATAAAAGATTACATGCCAGTTATGTAAATAAACATTTTTAAAAAAAACATTTGAGTTCACAGAATCACAATTCTCTAGGCAAGTTTGTATCTACAGCTAAAAAACTTTGTTCAATAAGTGCGCAAATTAAAATTGTCAGAAGTAAGCACTGATTGGGATTTTATAAAGTGCATTATCTGAATGCAGTTTTGACAAGTAACTTTTAGAAGATGGGAAGTTCATGCATTGTCCCCACCATTGTTCGGTGAGTTTATTCTAGTAGTTTATGTTTAAATAGATTTTTTCATATTAAGAGCACATCAAATTCTCGAATTATTAATAGAAAAAATAAACGCCTACCAGCTGTATATGAGACATTAGATTTGACTTGTTGTTGAAGCATCTCCCACAATCAGTGCATTTGTGGGGTTTCTCTCCAGTGTGAATTAACATGTGACGATCCACGTGGTACTTCTTGGTGAATCTCTTCTCACACACTGAACAAATAAAAATCTTTTGATTGGGTGATTTCCAGTTCTCATGGACACGTTTGGTATGCCCAATGAGGGCTCCAAGTGTCTTAAAAGCAGCCTTGCAAGTATTACACAGGTATTGCCTAGTGTGAAGATGCATACCCTGGAATGAAAGTCACATTCATAAAAAATTATGAAAATAAATCTGGAACTGCTCTTCAACAAGATATTAATTTGTGAAGTGGGTTTTTTAAGACAGGTTTTCCAAAAACATAATAAATAAATTGATTGGTAGTAGAACAATATCTTTAATAAAGTTATCTTTTTAACATAACCTTAATTTTTTTAATTCAAACAAGAAAAGCATCAAACTTCTCAAAATTTATATTAAATTTAGTAAAATTTATCTACAATTTTGTAACAGTCAATGGTTCTTATTGTAACTTATGAAAACTCTTAATATCCAAATCTGATTTTGTTACCCAGAAATTATAAAAAATGTAAGTGGATCACAAAGCAGAAGTATAAAGATAACTTGGTCCCAGAAATTTTCTATGAAGGAAACCCAGACTTAGGGCTTTTATTTTGTTCCGCTGCATAGCAAGTTAATAATATATGCCCGGTGAAATGATTCAAATGACAACTTTGCTCACATATAAATTAGAATCCAGCCTATCACTGAAGTAGCACTGAAGTAGCATTAATTTACTCTTATCTGGTTGTACCCCAAAGAAGTATTTAAAAAGAACACTCCAAAAACGGGTAATGTTGTAGAGGAAAACAGCTGTCAGTTTTTGTTTTAGGTGGTATATTTAAGTCAGTTTATTCTTACCTTGATATGTGTATTAAGATTTCCTCGAAAAGCAGAAGCATAGTCACAATGTGGACATTTGTATGGTTTTCGGCCTGAGTGAACTGTCCTCATGTGTGAACTCATTCCAGTTTTTAAAACAACCTGAAATTTTTTTTTTTTTAAATTAATGGTTTGTTCTATAATAAAAACTTTTAAAATACAAAACCGGAAATGTCTTCTGATCATTAAATATATATATTATTTATACATTAAATATATATATTTGTCTAGATCTTCCTGTAAGGGGCCATCAATAAATTACATACACACTGAAAAAAAAAAGAATTAAAGGGAGGTGAGGGGTATGATTTAGGAGGGGGAAGGGGTCTCAGCAGAGCGTGCATGTAAATTTAAGCACAAATCTGCAGTAACAGTTTTTTTTTTAATCTTGACAGTTCATAAATAGCTATAATATAGCAAACTGTACCTAAAAATATGTGAAATACATGATTTCTAATTATTAAGATGATGCAAAAATCACCATACTATTTGTATTCATTGTAATACTGTTTTTGTTTTCACAAATGAAGTAGCTGGATATAAAATATAGGGACTTCTTTTGTTTCTTTCTTGAAGTCTAGCCACAACTAAAATTCAGAAAATTGTATTAAGTTTACAACCTAAAGTTAAAAATTGAGTGATTATGTTCTGTTCAGACATGGTTGCCAAGAAACTCCCAAAATTGTTCAGAAAAGTACTTAAACCATCTCAAAATAGTACTAGTAAATAACTTAACATTCAGTATAAAGTATACAATAACTATTCGTCATGCAGGTCTAAAAAAAAAGGTCACTTCCCAAAGTAGATGACTAACGTTTAAATATTTATATACAGTGCTATTTTTGCAAATAAAAAGATGCCCGTCATTGCCACTTTGATAGACAAAGATAAGATGGGGGAGCAGAAATAGAGAACGATACCCCAAGCGAAAGTGGGGATGGCGTTTGGGGAGAAGGCTGAGCCCTCGCCCCTGGAACCTTTTTTAATGAATTCAAAATGCAGTGATGCCCTTTTGCGTATACCTGAATACAGTTTTGCATCTTTCTACACTAAATTGGAATGCTTGTGGAAAATTAGGTTCCCTTTACCTATTTGTGTTTATATAAATCCTTTGGTTCAAGTAGTACCTAAATAGCAAAACTCATTTATAACTTTTAATTAAGATTACTTATTTCAATCAATTTTTTAAAAAATCCAGTCCAATAAAGAGACGGGTGATCAAAATGGCATGAACTGTCCAAAAAAAAAAAGTTAAGTTTATTTATTTCAAACGTGTTTTTATGCCAAGAATTAAATAATTGCTAATTGAATGAAGCAATAAGTTAATTTGTGATACAACCAACGAGCCACCATATTAAACATAGCGGGCCGAAGGTTATAAATCCCTGCATTAAGCCTAGGAGCCTGGTTTTATATGCCATTAACATATTAAAGGCTAATAACTATCACAAGCTGTATTGAGAGAAAGGGAAGAGGAGTGCTGGAACAAAACTTGAGTAATAAAATTGTACACATGCTTCGTGACTTCTTAACATAGATTTCCAATGCCACTTACTAGATCTTTTAAATTTGTCAAATCTAACAGTGCAGTTGGGAATACATTTTTTAAAATCTGTAGTCTTCTCCATTTTTATCCGGAGAAGGAAATAATGTCACAAAATTAAGTCATACAGCACCAAAACAAAAAAGTGAATATTGACTAAATGTGCCACTGGTGACTGCACTAAATATTACTGTTACCATATCTAGCGAGGTCTTTGTGAAAACACCAACCAACAATATGATTATCATCATTATTCAAAAGCGTGGAGGTCTTATTTTATAGCTTTATAAAAATTTAGAGCCCTCCCCCCCTCTATACATCCTTCTATCCACACCTGTATGCTCTTAAGTCAATATCACCCCACCCACCTTGAGTGCGTATGTAATATAATTATGGATGGTCCTCCAGACCTGTTTACCCTCAAACTCTTAAAACCGTACAACGATATCGTCACAAAATCTTTCAATACATTTTTAATACCAGTAGTAAAAAAATGAACATGTATACACCTCAAAATCGTACATTGTACGCCAAAATCGTAAGAGTAAACAGGTATGTATTTCCCAGTCCATTCTCCCCCGATGTAGAAAGGAGCTAAATCTAAAAATCAAAATTCATAAAAACTATCGGAATATATTTTTAAAACCAAGCCACTTAACTGATTAACTACCATGTCGGCGTTTCTTCCGTTAAGGCCTCGAGCCACTGGTAGCACCAATGTTTGTATCATATTAAATGTAACCTAGATTTAATTCGGCCATAGCTGGTTTTTCAATCTGCCTACAATCATAAGACATTTCAAAACTGTACACTATGTGTCAAAATCACAAGAGTAGCCTGGTCTGTTTATTTCCTAAATTGATGGAATTTAAGAGGATCTGAGGGTTTCTTTCAGAAATAATTGGACCACCACAATGCGTGGACAAGACTGCCTAGGCTAAATCAAATCTAGCCATCAAAATACTATTTTGTTACCTTGGAGCATATAGGACATGGTATCTGCATTCGATTTTGTTGATGAAGCTCCATGTGCCTCTTCATATTTTTGGTTACTTTCCCACATTCAGTACAGGTTTCACCAGATTCATCTAAACCAATTGTTGATACCTGAAATATATATTTTAAAGAATATATATATATATATAAGCTATTTAGTTATTCTTTTAAAGTTATTCTAAAAGTAAAATTTCATTAACCCTTTACGGGGCAGAGGTACTTCCTCTTGCATCTCCAGAACGGGCACCACTTCTCCGATTTTAGTAAGATTTAGGGTAACGTTAGTAAAAAAAAATTCAAATCTAAGGTGTTAGTCAACAAATTTTTGTGAAATAAAATGCAAAATTAAGGAAAATGAATGCAGATTTATAATTTTACTCACATGTTGCCATTAATCCTCATTTGAACACAAATATTTGCAAAAAACAACATATTGTTTGTGATTGTGAGTCATCTATTTACTATTTACAAACACTGCCACAAAATCGAAGTTTGTAAAATTCAACACTGCTTATTACATTGATTTCACTAATATTATTAATATCTAGTTCCAATTTACAGTCAATTCCTGCACTTCAATTGTCACTTAAATTGAATCCAGCGAAATCTCCGCTATCACTTGAATAATAGACAAATAATCGGCAAAATCCATTTCGAAAAAAAATTCTTTAAACCCTTAAACCTACACAAAAAAATACTTGTAACTGGCGCCCACTCTATCCAGCTATCTGAAAAACCGGATGTAAACAATAGGAAGTCTCGCAAAGACTCGGAGGTCACTAGTTTACAACTATATGACATCACGGACGCTTTGCCTGTTCAGTACTAAAGGCGTTTTCTGCCCACTCTGCCCAGTAAAGGGTTAAGATAGTTTGTAATTGTAAATATCTCTAATAAATGGAAAGATCTTCAACATTATAACAAGCAGTTTATAAGTAGTTGTGAGAAACTGTTTTTCATAATTAAATGGTACCTTCATGATCCTTTCTCTCCATTTAGCATTTCTCATCTCTTCCTCATAATTATGCTCATCTCTGTGTTTTCCTTTAATATGTTTGACTAAACCAATAAATGCTTTTTCACAAAACGGGCATTTGAGAGCTTCTTCTGTGTTACGGCGAATGGATTTCCTTCTTGGTTCACTGTCTTCAAAAAGACCATAATCGTCTTCAAGTTTCCTGCGTCGATGCCGATACAGGTCTTCTTCATCATATTCATCAAAGTCCATGGCATCGATACCTGCATCTTGATTAAGTGGGCCAAATTTCTTCCTTTTCAATCGTGGGTCAGTCTGAGTTTGAACTGATCGCCTTGTTGCAGTTTCAAAGATAGTCTCCACTTCTACAAATTCATCAAACTGTGGAGTTTGAGTCGACATACAGTTGTCTGCCAAAGATGCTTCACCATCAGTACCTCCAACTTCTTCCTCTTCTACCTGGCTGTCATCTAGGCTAGCAATGTATTGATCACCTACAAGTACAATTTATTAAAAAATAAGAATTAAGATTCCATTCAACATTTTAATTAGCATTATGATTCTAGCAGGTCAATGAAAAAAACTGCCAAAAGAAATGTAAGCCATTGTATCATTTATGACAGTTAAGCAAATCAGATTCATAATCGTTTTAAAGCATTAGTACCAGTATTTTCTGTGTTAACATAATTACTACCAATATTGCAAGGAGATTTACGGAATAATTTGTCTTTTTACTTTAGAATAGTATATTATGCCATAAAATATATGACTCTATGCACACTATTCAAAAATGTTTCAAGACCCTGGCAAAAAAGAAAAGACACGCTTTCAGAAAAAAAGAAAGAAATATAAGAAATAAATTTCCATTATACATTACCTGAAGAATGAGGAGTAGAAACTATGTGTTTTACATCAACTAAGTCTTCTTCGTCATCAGGTTCTTGTTTTACATTACTAATTGTCACAGGTACCACAACAATCTATAGGAGATAGAAAAATCTTCATTTTAAACAGACTATACAATTGGGCTTACCGGTACGGTACTTTAAAGAAGAAAATTTTAAGTTTTAGTGATTACAGTAAAGGACAGGGCTTTTTTTTTTTTAAAGTAGACACTCGAGCAGTTGATTTCTGTTCAATTAGAATTAATTTACATTATACTTTCAAGATCTAAGTGTGATCATGTTAAAATTTTTTACTACACCTTCCCTGTCTCAATACACCACCAGTTGGAAAGCCCTGGAATAGAAAATTTACCTCTGACTGAGATCTTGGGCCTTTACGGCCTAACCTGGGACTCATGCTGGGTCTTCCAGGTTTTCTCCCAACATTCCTTGGTGAATAATCTTCATCATCTTCTTCCTCATCAAAATCATCATCATCATCTTCTTCATCCTCATCTTCTTCCTCCTCCTCTTCTTCCTCTTCTTCCTCTTCTTCTTCATCCACTTCTAAAACAACCTTCTTAGGTCTTCCTCTGGGAGCAGGGTCAGGTGTTATCATTGGAGACTTTGGTGGTCGTCCTCTTCGAGGTGGAGCCACTGGCTCCTCTTCTTCCTCTTCTCCATCCCCCTTTTTGTCTTTTCCTTTCAAACCCTTTGACTTTGGACTATCTAGGAATTCTTCTTTAGCAATTAATGCTTTTTTTGCAGAAACAGGTTGAACACTTATTGCTGTCTGTTTGGGGGTTTGTTTCTTGGCCTTCTTATAGTCCTCATCTTCATTATCTTCTCCAGTGTCAACTTCTTTTCGTGGTCTCCCTCTTTTCCTGGGGGGCTCGCTGTCCACAGTGACATTTTTCCTGGGTCTACCCCTTTTGGCAGTATGTGGAGTATGTGTTTCCTCAGCCTTTTTTACTGCTTTTGGTGTTGTCGTTTCAGATTCATCATCAGATTTTAATTTTGGCCTCCCAGGTGTTTTTGCTTTCTCCGCTTTGATGGGAATAGGAGATTCCTCTCCATACCTTCGAGGTGGCTTGGCTCTTCTCCTTGAAACTAGTTTCTCTCCCTCATCATCTTCTTCGTCGTCTTCTTCATCTGTCTTTTTGGATGCAGCCCTAGCTGGACTTTTACTTCCTCCTTGCTCTTTGGTGTGTTCTTTCTGAGATCCTTTACCTACTTTTGGTGTGGAGGAAGTCCCCTCTGACGTTATTCCTACATCTTTAGGTTTAGGTGGTCTCCCTTTGCGTTTAACTGGTTCTTGAAGAGATTCAACTTTGTCACCATCCTTTGGGCTTTTTCCACCCTGATTGCCAGATTGTTTGTTGTCTTTTTCTAATTTACTTTCATTCTCTACTTCATCATCAAATCCAAAAGACATTTCTGCATCTTTTCTAACAGCTGCCAATTTTTCTGGTGACCTGATTGGTCTCTTCACTTTGATCTTGGCATTAACTTCCACTTCTTCCTCTTCTTGATCAACATCTAATTTCAAGGTTTGATCCTCGTGAACAAACCCAGGGAGCTGCATGATATCAGGAACATCAGAAGTCAGACCTCTATCACCTAAAGCTGTAGCCTGCTCCTTTTCTATTAACTCAACAACTTCTTCCTGTTCCCGCTCTCCATTTTGATCTTTGATTTCTTGCTGTGTCTCTTCCAGGTCCTCCTCGTCATCATCATCGTCTGCTCCGTCCTCTAAACTTATAATTCTCGACTGGCCCATTGAATCGCTAGAAAGTACCTTCAAGAAAATTAGAAAAGATAGAAAATTAAAATACATTCAAGAATAAAAAGAGCTAGCATATTTTGTAGTTCAAACGGACAACAAATACCATAAATGCAATTTTTACATTTCAAGAAAATATGGTAATAAAATTACAGACCTCTCCAGGCTGGAGCTTTTGACTTCCTAGTTCTGACAATTCAACTGTGTTCTTGTCATCTTCTGGAACAGGTTCATTTTTTGTAAGCTCAGAGTCCTTTTGCTTCATTTTTTAATTTGATCTGTAATTTAGAATAAGAAAATGTATAAAAACCACCAACAATTTTTTTTTTTTAAATTATAGAATTTTACAGGGAATACTGTTTCTTTTTCCTCTCTGTTTTAACCCATGGTTTTTTTAACTGCTTTTAAACAACAAAGTTAAACTGTACAGATATAAATAAATTATGGTATGGTACTGTATCCCTTTAATTTGAAATGTCATGATTTTCATTCAAACTTTCACATACTTGTATTGTGTTCTTACTAATACTATATATAATCAGACCTGTTTACCCTCAAACTCCTAAAATCGTACAATATCGTCTCAAAATCGTACAATACAGTATCTTAATAGTAAATACATAAATATACAGTATATATAATATATAATGTATACATCATCTACTGGTATAGCGTGTTCAGTGGAATCCAGTTCAGCGGTTTGTTAAAAAATGGAACTGTAAGGTAATCAGTATTCGACTGACGTTAACTGCAAACTGCGGTCACTTCATTTTGAAGACCTGCATCTGCTATAGATACCTCCATGTTTGTTACCTCCATAAACGATATATTTATTTTTATCCCACCCTTTATTTTATTTGTGTATTCCCTATTTCGAAGTGTACTTGTAAGAATTTCATCCAGGAAACCCTGGCGAAAACCTAATATGACATATGCGCCGGGAAACAAAATTATAAGAACCACTGGCGTAGCCCAACGAAATATGCGTCACACGCGCGCTGAACACTCATGACTAAACACAACTGTAACTTCTCTACTACTGCTAACGAGTTTATTGGTGAAAATACATCTTGACAACATCACCGCAATAATTCCTACAAAACATCGGGTGGTATTTTACAGCATTCGAGATATAAATAGAATGCTATTTTTGGACTTTCAGAGTTAGGAGATGAATATTGTAGATTTTTTAAAATAACGTACGTTCTTTCTGCCGAGGAACAGCGCCGCCCCCCCCCCCAACCTGTCATTACGGAAATGTCGCGGTGTTGATTGTATAGATTTAAGTATTTAGACCCACACCAAACCCAAAATTTCCTAAATCAACACCACTCCTTTTGTCCCTGATAGATTGTTCATGAAAAGTCCGACTTGCAGATTGTGTAATTGTGCAGTGCGCGCATGATGGACCATTCGACGAAGAACGCAACCCAGTCAATTTAGTCTGATATTCAAGCAAGACTATCTGCTGATAAACTTTCTTTTTCTGTAGTTGAATCGGATGTTTATCGGTAGAAAGAGAAGTTTCTTCTTCATCGCCCATTCCGCGAGCCTTTCTTTTTGTCGAGGTCATATCGTAAAATACTAAGTGAGGTCAACTACGGAACCGAAAACAAGAATGATTGCCGATTCCATTAATGATAATGGTAACATTAAAATCACGCAATGTGCACATAGGTCAATGCAGCCAAATTCTAGCGCCAGAGCTGTTTGGACAGCCCATATATAACATTTCAAATAAAAATGAAAAAGTTAACAATGATTCCTAGCTCGCCCCCAGCTGCACGCCCTGCCAACTTAAAGGGCCAACCAAATATGACTTACTCGCTGAGGATGGGTATGAGTTTTGATTGGGTTGGGGGGGGGGCACCAGAATGCACCTACATGTAGGCATAAATTCAAAATTCTACAATAATTATCCTGATTCCTGACAGTCTCTTATAGAGCCAACTGTCACATGAAAATCTGAAATCCACGAATTCTAATTAGGTCTATTATTATTATTATTAAGGCTATACAAATACCACAATGCTTCGCATTTATCGTATACCGTATACTAATGCTTTGTGTTTTCATAAAGAGGTCGCTGTAGTAGTCATATTTAACACGACATAGTGACAACACACTAGTCCACTAACACGTATTTCCGTGCTGGTGACGAACCCACCTTCCCCCACCCTCATTAATAGGAAAAACATAGTGCCCTCGCCTATCCAATATGCCCCTGAGTTTTTACGTTCACATACTAAAGAGCAGTGGTCAGCATACTCATTGGTCAAAAGAGCCCAAATCAGCAGCAGGACCATTAAACAAATTTTGCGAGCCAAATTTATTTTCAAGAACCTGTCAAGGACCATGTTTTTCGGAGTAAAAACCGCTTTGTAGTTGACTGGCCGAGCCGCAGTCTGGACGAGCCGCGGCTTGCCGACCACTGCTATAGTATCAGAGACTAGTAACTACCACAAGCTGTAAACAAAAATGGGGGGGGGGGGCGCAGTAGTAGCAGTAGTGATACAAAACTGTTTAATTGTATTAAAATCGTTGAGGGGGATAGAGTCAGAGGCGTAGCGAGGGTGTTTGGCGCCCGGGGACAAGATCCATTTTAAAGTGCCCCTTTTTCTTTTTTTCAACTCTCAAGCCCATTATTTTCATCAATAAAATAATATCAAAGCACATTTTGGCGCCCCTAAACAGGGTTTCTTTCAGCTATATCTCTGGGAGGGGGGGGCAGTGCCCCTCCCCCGGGGAAAGCCAAGTGCCCCCAGGAGCAAAAATATGTCCAACAATAAATCAACTGGAACTGCTGGCACTGCCCCCCACCCCCCGAAAAATCTGAAGTACCCCTTCCCCGAAAATCTGAAGTGCTCCCCCCTGGGGAAAATTTCTGAAAGAAACATGCCCCCTAACTAGCTGGCGCCCGGGGAATCTGTCCCCTCCTGCCCCCGCTCGCTACGCCTCTGGATAGAGCTGCTTTGCGAGATCTAAAATATTTTTTTTAATGCCACTGACTAAATCTCACACCTCTAGTTTTCTCTCTTCACAATCCCCGCGGTTCAGACGAACACACGCTTGCTAGCAGTAGCAGTCCAAGGAGGTGGTGAGTGAAGTTGTTGCCAGGCGACTAGCCTAAAGATTGCTGCTGACACAGCTAGCTGGTTCACTGTGACACGCAAAGCAACACTAAGACCATCACCACCATCAATAGGATGCGTTGTGGTGATATTTTTATATCTTTTGAAACTCCCACCTTCCCCCCCCCCCCAACCCGTGTTTCTGGTATGCCACCAATCTCTTTAATCAACAACCGCCACCTCCCCTTTCAGTGCGTACATAAATATAATGAAGGATGGTCCAACTATAAAAAAAATATACAAAAACCCATCGTTGTTTTCTGGGTCCATTCAATGCGGGGCCATAAGGGCTAAAGCTTCCACAACCGAAAATGTTTAATATTTGTTTAAATCGGACAAAATGACACAAATATTTGATCACCGGGTGGGTCTCTGAAAATCGTAGTTTTGGCGGGTCTCTGCGTACAATCGTAAAAGACATCTAAAAATCGTACATTGTACGCCAAAATCGTAAGAGTAAACAGGTCTGTATAATTCACATGGCTCGAATGAGGTCCCAACTAAATGATCACAGCAACTATGAAGGGAGTTGCTCAGTTCTGGGACAAAGCACTTATTCCTATTCATAAACACAGCCACATCATCACACAAAAAAAGAACCAAAATTCATCATTGATTGGAATAATGAATAATGCAACTTGGAGAACAGACAGAAGGAACAAGAATGTCATTTTCTGAAAGTTTACAGGATCTTATTAACATCTCTGAAGCTCTCTCCATGATAAAGCTACCCGAAGACCTACCAGCATAGAGAGAGAAAGAAAGGTGTGGTAGGATTAGTTAAGGTTAACATACTATTTAAAGTTGCTGATGAAAGAAACATGTACGGCAAAGGAAACTGAGGGGATGCAACAAGCTAGCAACACTATGTGTTCATGCCGGCTCCTGCAGACTTTTAGAAGAATAGCTATGCACAGATCTGATCATGCAACTAATAGTGGCTAAGGTGTTTGAAACACTGATGGGACCATCTTGTAGACCAAATATCAAGTTGTTCCAGAAATTTGGGCTCAATTGACCAATCTAGCTATGAAAGTTGTCTGACTAGATGTAGATTTCATCAAGTCAACTCTCAGTCTCTGGTCATTTTTGCATTTTTTTGACTCTACATTTTTAGTTGAACTGAAGGCAGCCATGGTTACTGTGCTTGACACAAAAAAAAAACTTGATTTATATCATCACCACAGTTTAAGATGCATTGTAATTGTAAATTTAAACAAATATGGCAACAGACAATGTTTAAAAACTGGACATTCCTAATGATTAACAAAAATGTCTAATGAGTGTTATGTCTAGTAATCTATATGGTACAAGCCCGAAAGTGAAATGTTAATGGATAAAAGAAGTTAAATCAATGGATTATTCATGGAATTCATGTAGCGTAGCAAATATATTGTTGGATATTTATGTAGGTTAACACCTAGTGTTCGCCTAGCTGATTGGGTTGTGATGAAACTAGTAGGAATAAATTATCAGCTTTTGCATAATGTACTGTGGTTAGAAAACAATTAAGTGGAGAAGAACCTATTAAACATAAAAGATTCTAATTTTGGTCCAAACTTTTATTTTTAGGTTTTTTTGGACATTTTTGGTTGTTTATTCAACTACCCAAGTTTTAAATGTGCTATTAGGCTATCAAGAAAGCAAAATGAGATAGGCAAAATTAAAGAATTTGAATTGAGAAATAGCTTGGGCTTGGTTAATGTTGAGGTTAAATATTGTGCAAGCCAATTTTATTATGCAGGCAACAAATACTACAATACAATACTGATATTTTTTTGAAAAAGCTGTATGGCAGTGTTTCCCAACCTTTCCTATACTCTGCAAACCTATAAATTGACTGTCTTGCATCCACTACAAAATTAACAAAACATTTTAAATTGGTAAAAAAATATTTTACAAACACAATAATTTTAAATGAGAACAAATCAAATATAAAGAGCTAAATTTATCAAAAAAGTAAATTCCCTTTAAAAATGCATAACTTTCTGTAACTTCTGCAGGAAAAAAAAAAAGACTATTTGAGTATCTTTACAGAGCTTAAAGATAGCCATTTCCAGTGGTATAACTATGTGTAAATATCACTTAAAAATAACTAGTTGTAAGTGTCGCTTAACTGTTAAAATTTAGGCTGGATTACCTATAGACTTATAATAAGGCATCACAAATTCAGGTAAATCAAATAATTTACTTGGAAAGTACTGTAAATCAAGTAGGCTAGGCATATTTCGGACATAAAATTATTAGTAGTTTGATCTCACTTCATTATTATTCAAATTTTAATTAATTAGGCCTAAATTTTAATAAATCATGTTCTTAAATTACAAGTAGGCATATCTTTTTGATTCAAAATGGTAGTATAAATTTAGGTCTATGTCTGCTTGTGCTGTGGGCATGGCACACCATCCATACCCAAGTCTGTAAAATATCACTTCAGAGAATTTCAATGATAAAATCTAAAAAAAAAATTTCAATGATAAAATCTAAAAAGTGAATTTACTTCAAATTGCAACACTAAGAATCATTGTAGAACAGTCAATTGAATGGAACTCCCCCCTATATTTAAATTTTATAGACTACGAAAAGGCCTTTGATAGCCTTGACTGACAAACCTTATGGAAACTTCTTTGGCACTATGGAGTACCAGGGAAATTAGTCAGGATCATTCAGAGCTCTTATGAAGAAATGACATGCAGGGTGGTCCACGAAGGTAGACTCACAGATTCCTTTACAGTCGAAACATGAGTCAGACAAGGATGCCTCTTGTCCCCATTTCTATTCATCCTTGCCATTGACTGGATAATGAAAAAATCCACAGAAAACAAGAGGAATGGGATACAGTGGACATTCTGGGAACAACTGAATGATTTACACTTTGCAGACGACATTGCACTTCTGTCCCACAACCAGCAACAAATGCAGGAAAAGACAAAAGACATAGCCACCTTTTCAGCACAGCTTGGTCTCAATATAAATAAAAGCAAGACAAAAATCATGAAGATAAACCCATCCAACCATGAGCATATCTATCTGGCAGGAAAGGCACTGGAAGAAGTGGAGTCCTTCACATACTTAGGCAGCACCATAGACACAAATGGCGGATCCGATGCAGACATTAAGGACCAGAATTGGAAAAGCTAGATCGGCTTTTTATGCTATTAAAGAAAATATGGGAGTCGAAGGAGCTGAAACTGCAAACCAAAGTCAGAATCTTTAATACAAATGTCAAAACAGTCCTACTATATGGTACAGAAATTTGGAAAACAACAGTGAGCCTTATGCAGAAAGTGCAGACATTCATAAACACATGCCTTAGAAAGATCCTGAAAATCAAAAGGCCAAATACTATCAATAACAAAGATCTACTAGAAAGGACACACCAGGTGCCCATTGATGAAGATATCACAAAGAAAAGGTGGAGATGAATAGGGCATACGCCCCGAAAACCCCCAGATAGCACCACCAGACAAGGCCTAACATGGAAACTACAGGGAAAAAGAAAGAGAGAGGAAGGCCTAAGAATACATGGAGACGCGAGCTAGAGGCTGACACGCAAAATATGGGATACACCTGGAAGCAATTGGAAAGGAAAGCACAGGACCGTGATGAGTGGAAAGTTCTTGTAGACGGGCTATGCCCCAGACGGGGTAGAAAGGCATAAGAAGAAGTGAATTTAATTAACTATGACCCGGCCTATGTTCACTCAATTATACTTAATGAACTATATGCATAATAATGTACCTTGGGGGACATTCATTATAATGTCATTTTATCCCCTTCCCCTTATCCTCATCAACAAAATTCATCAAAGAAAAAAAGAAAATTAGACATCCTCTTCATACATCATCACTAATGTAGGTATTTTGGTTCAAAAAATAATTCCCAAAAATAATAAAAACAGTACAGTTGTAGGCCTACTTATTTAACAATTCCTCCCAAAGCACAGTTCCACAGGCTACATCATTACAGACAAACCTTAGCAGTAATAATAGTAAGTAAAATATTTAACAAACTTTTAAAAAAATACACTCTATCAAAGACATTTTTAGGCATACCCGTACTAAAAAGTAGAAAATAATTTAAATTTTCTTAAAATGCATTACACAAAGAAAATCTGTGCATGAGTGTAGACTACTGTAGAGCAGAAATATCGCTTTTTATTTTTTAAAATATTTTATGCACGGACTTTGATAGAAAGTCTTTTTTTTTTAAAAGTATCTTTATATATATATTTTTTTTCTCTATTTTTTATAGTTAAAATTATATTTAAATTATAGACAAAAAACAATTATTTACTTTTTTTGACAATGAAAATTAATGTTTACAAAAAACTGTTTAAAGTTAAAACTGTTTTCTAAGCAAAAACTAAAAATTACACAAACAGCAGCCTCGTTTTATAGCCCTGGTCGTGTGCCACCTGTCGATCCAAGTCTAAATGCTGTAAGAGTATGCACTGCCCCTACCTAACCTCTTCCGAACCACTTCTCCCCGTAATCCTACAGTACAGCTCTCATCTGAACTCCCCTGCCCACCCTTCTCCTGCCATTCTCAGATCGTGGTAGATGGGATCAAATGAGAATGATAGAAAGGGTTACATGAGATTTTTTAAAAATTATGCTACAAAGAAATTGAAAGTAATGAAAAAAAGCAATATGTAATATCAATAATATGAAACTCAATATGTCCACAAAGTAAACAGAAACTGAAGGGAAAGTCAAGTGTGGCACTTACTTATTTGAGTTTGTCTTAGTGACTTAAGCCAGGTCAAACAATAAAAAATAAATGGCAGAGCAATTTTTTTTTGATTATTTTAAACCCCAGTAAGGGCCAGTACTAGTAGTACTAGTAGTGTAGTGAATAGTTAGTGTAGGCCTAAATTTAATGGATAAATCAAATAAATGAGAAAACCCTGCTACTAAAATTTTATTTTTATTTAAATTGGGAAACCTTTACATTAACCTAAGCTCAATAGCTTTATGCCTACTTTAGAAATATTTTTTAAAGGAGATATTCATGGATGGACCCGACGGGTAATGCATGTAGTATTGATGCATTGCGATCCATGAATAAGACGAGTAGACCAATTCATGCCAAAGCTGGTCCGCCATTTTTCCGGTCGCCATTTGCAAGCGTCTATACTGGCCTTTTCAATGACCAAAATAAGCAAGTTGTACAGGACACAATGAGCAATAATAATATCAGCTCAAAACGAATTTAGAGTATCCAGGCCTATTCCCAATTGCTCCTAAAACAAAACGAAAAGAGAAAATTGTCCCCCCTGGACCAAGGGCACATAATTTCGCCATGTTGTTAGATGCGATGAGGACAACTTGGTATGGGCGGTGAGAGTTGAGGTTATCGCCCGTAGACGCACCTTACAACGCTTAAATGGGCTTTAATTCACACATAAACTTACCCAGAAACTCAAATAAATCGCTTCTAAATGTTTGCAACAGAATATATTTACAAAATCTACTGTTTTCCTCTATTTTCAAAGTGTTTTGTAGGTCATCTGGCTGTTGGTAACCGGTTTGAGCTAATAAACTCCCATGATGCAGCAGTCTTTAAAAAATACTCGTGAATTCCCGAGTAAGGCCGGAAGTAACCGACGATTCCCGAGTAACTTCGTCATTAATTAAGGGTGAAATCAAATTATTATTTTTTTTCAAGACAACTTATCAATTTATTTCCAATCTTTCGTTTTTTTAATTTTTATCAGAATGTAAATAAATAATGCGTGATGTTTTGTCTAATGATGAAGGCGTCTTGTTTTTTTCATTTTCATTCAAACCTCTACAGCTTGAATGCAGTCCCTGAGTCCCTTATAAATTCCATATAATAGATTATTTAATCCTGTATCTGACCTGTCTGATTTAACTTCACGAAATCAAGACAATTAATTCGAAGTACATAATTGCAGTGCGGACTGTTGCCTGAGTCTGGTGATAGGAGGTTTTCGACAAGCCCTTTCGGACACGGAAATACATAGATTAGCGCCAGCGGTAACAAAACAAATTTGTAATGCTCGCGTTCTGTCCGATCATCCGCTAACATAATCGGAAATATTCGGAAGTCTTCACAATGGTGTAATTTTGGGTTGGTTGTTTTGAAGAATAAGAGCGAAAAAAGCATTCGTTTTCAATTCCCATGAAAAATTGTGTTTTACAATTTACATGTTTGAATAAAACGCGTAATGATCTATAAAACATGTTTTTCATTTCTTAAAACGAACAATTAACTAAATGTCGTTGTCGTCAAAAGTCGTCCTAATTTATCGGCAACAAAATGACATGAGCGTGACTTTAGAAAACTAGATTTCCGAAAAAATAAGTCAATAATAGCTACAAAGTAACTAGCCTAGGCCTAGTAAAATAGAGCCTAAGTTATATGTAGCGTAAGCGTATAAATCATATCCGTTGGGTTGTGCAACGTATTTGTTTATCAGTGCAAAGTCCACGTAAAATAATTGGATTGTGAAGAACCTCCAGAAATATTTTAGCCTTCCAATGCAGGGCTTTTTTTTTTTTAAATTAATTAAAGGCTTATTGCAAAACAATGTACTTTCTACAGCGTAACAAGGAGAATTTGTTTTTCTTGTATTTTGTTATCGTAATCTTTTTGGAAATTCTAAATTTATTTTGTTGTTTTTTGTTTTGTTTTTTGTTTTGTTGTTGTTTTTTTTTTTTTGTTCCCCATAGATGTTCACAGTTCGGTACTGTCATTAAATAGACATGGAAGTTTGTATACCTTATTGCCTTCGTCATGATCTGTATGGTCGCTGTAGTCAAGACTCACTTGTGTTCTAGTGGGTCGTGCTGTAGTAGGGTGAGGGGGGATAGAGCGCTATGATGGGGAGCGTTATATGGAGCATTCAAATTTAAGTACCAACATGGGCGCCCG